GGCCCCCGGGGGCCCCTGGGGGCCCCCCGGGGGCCCCTGGGGGCCCCCCGGGGGCCCCTGGGGGCCCCCCGGGGCCCCGGGGGCCCCCGGGGCCTCGGGGGCCCCCGGGGGCTCGAAGGCCCCCTGGTGCCTAGGGGGCCCCGGGCCTTTGGGGGCCCCTGGGGCCTCAAGACCTTCTGCAGCATTATTAGGGGCTTTTAATGCATTTGGGGGCCTCAGGGGCCCCCCTTCGAGCTCTTGCGGAGGTCTTGGGGGCCCCTGGGGGCCCTCGGGGGCCCTTAGAGACCCTGGGGGCCCCCCCAGGGCCCCCTGAGGCCCCTGAGGGCCCCCAGGGGCCCCCAGGGGCCCCGGGGGCCCCTTAGGCGCAGAAAAGTCGGGGGCCCCTGGGGGCCCCAGAAGCTCGGGGGCCCCCAAGTGCTCTAAAGGGCCCCGGGGCCCCAGGGGCCCCTGGGGCCCTGGGGGCCCCGGGGGCCCCCGGGGGTCAGGGGGCCCCTGGATCTCGGGGGGCCCCTGGGGCCCAGGGGGCCCCCTAGGGTTTGGGGGCCCCTGGGGATCTGGGGACTGGTGAGGGTCTTTGAGTTCATTCTTTTGGTTTTGTTTTCTTTTTTCTGTTGCTGCTAAAGCTATGATTGCTGCGATGTCTATGAGGCGGTCTTTGGCAGCCATTGTGTTGCTGCTGCTGCTGCTGCTGCTGCTGCTGCTGCTGCTGAAGTGACCCCGGGAGGCAGCAGCTTTAAATGGGACTTTGGGGCTTTTCGAAGAAGAAAAAACTTTTAAATATTATCAGAAAAAAGAAAAGAAGAATTAATTAAAGAAAGGCAAACGTGGGGCCCCCGGGGAGGCCCCCCACCGCAGCCCTGACTCAAGAGTCCTTGCTGCTGCTGCCGCCGCTGCTGCTGCTGCTGCTGCTGCTGCTGCTGCTGCTGCTGCTCTTTTTTAACTTCTTTGGAGTAAAATTAACGCAATAATTATAATTTTCAGCTTAAAAAAGAAGTAATTAAATTAATAATTCAACCTGGCAGAAAAGCCGGGCTGAGATCATCAGGTGTCGATACACCTGACGGGGGGCCCCAGGTGCAGCGCCGAATGGGGGGCCCCCAGGTGTCGATATCTGCTCTAAAACGGCGTTTTAAATGACCAAATTTAAATTAAATAAATCAATTTTAAATAAAACTTTTAAATTAATTCATTTAATTTGAAAAAGCACCGGAAAAAACGCTGAAACTGCAAGGTCACCTGACTCGGTGGATCTCGCTCAGCAAGCTGCGGAATCTTTTGTGATTCCTTCGGCGGAATTTGTTGAATTTGAAGTTTAATTGTCTTTAAATTGAATTCAATTTAATTTAAATTGACTTAATTTAACTCAATTTAATTTAATTTAATTTAATTTAATTTATTTTAATTCAAATTCATTGAAAAAACTCTTGAGGCGGCCTTTGGAGCTGCTGCAGAGGCGCCCGGTGTGCCAGCCAGCGCCGCCAGACGAAAAAGCAGAGGTTAGGGTTTAGAGTTTAGGATTTAGGGTTTAGGGTTTAGGGTTTAGGGTTTAGGGCCTAGGGTTTAGGGTTTACAAAGCGATACTAGACAGCACAAAGGGAAGAAGGGAGAGGAAAACCATGCATGAACTTACCCGCATTTTGCAGTGCCTTCATCATTGTTTTCGAAACCACGTTTGAGGGTTTAGGGTTTAGGGTTAAGGGTTTAGGGTTTAGGGTTTAGGGTTCAGGATTTAGCGTTTGGAGTCTAGCGTTTAGCGCCTAGCTTCGTTGTGCCGTTGTTCCCCTTTTAGGGTTTAGGGTTTAGGGTTTAGGGTTTAGGGTTTAATGTTTAGGGTTTAGGGTTTAGGGTTTAGGGTTAAGGGTTTAGGGTTTAGAGTTCCCAATCCTTTAGAACGCTGAGGAGTCCTTGAGGTGTACGTACACCTGATTAACAGGCTCTCAGCGCAATTTTCTTTTCTTCTCAAAAGTCATTTTAATGATTTTTAAATTCTTTTGAGAAGATATTTTAAATTCCAGAAAGTGTTTATTTATATTTTTAAAAGTATATAAAATTATACTTTTATAAATACTTTTGCAAATGGTAAGAATGCAATTTTTTATTTTTCGAACTTTAAGGAAATGCTTTTGGATATTTGTCAGAAGCAAGACTATTTGATCCGCATAAATCAACAATTTTCAATAAAAATAAATCAATTTATTTATTTACTATATAAATAAATAAATAAATGAATAAATAGATAATAAATAAGTAGGTAAATAAATGATTAATAAATAAATAAATAGGTAAATAAATAAATACGCGGAACATTTCTGCATGGGGTCCTTTATTTAGATTTTAAATAAATCACACAAAAGCAAATAAATACATTTAATGAATTTATTTTTGTTTTTCGTTATTTTTCTTCATTTGGACTTTAAATAAATCAAACAAAAGCAAATAAATATATTTTATGAATTTATTTTTATTTTCCAATTGCATACATTCATATTTGATTGGAATTCCATTTAAAATTAAAAATATATATAAATATATATTTATATTTATACATTTATAAATAAGTGTTTGTATATATATAAAATTAAATACATATATATATATATATATATATATATATATATTTATGCATGAATAATAAGAATGCATTTGTTCTCTTGTATTAAATAAATAAAGTAAATTGAATAAATAAAACAAATAAAATAAATAAAATAAACAAAATAAATAATATAAATAAAATAATAAAATAAATCAAATAAATATAATAAATATAATAAATAAATTTAGCAGAAAGTCCCGGCAAAAAGAAACCAAATATTTGCGCATGCAGGTGTACGCACATTCCGAGTGTACGTACACCTGCGCACACTATTCAAATAATTACAATTACAACTATAATTATAATTGTAATTATAATTATAATTAATAAATATAATTATAATTATAATTATATTTATAATTATCATTCTAATGCTAATTCTGATAATTGTAATTATAATTATATTCATCAGAATTAGAATTAGAATGATAATCATAATTATAATCTTAACGACAATTTTAGTTAGGATTAGAAGTAAAATTAGAACTAAAATTGCAATTATAATTAGAATTAGAATTATATTATAATTACAATTACAATTATAATTATAATTATAATTATAATTATAATTATAATTACAATTACAATTATAATTATAATTATAATTATAATTATAATTGTAATTGTAATTGTAATATAATTCTAATTATAATTATAATTATAATTATAATTATATTAATCTTTATATTTCTAGTCAGAATTGCATTTATAAAATAATATTTACATTTGCGCAAATGCAAAAATTGCAAATCTAAAATTTGTTTTTTGAATTTATGGAGTTTTAAATGCGGAGAAATTTAAAGAAATTAATTTCAGAAAAATAAAAATGAAATTTAATTCTTTTTTGTTTATTTGTTTTATTTTTATTTCCAAATTCTCTTTGTAATCCAGTCTGTCTAAAATGGCATTATTACTATTATTCTGTTATCATAATAGTAGTAATATTATTATTATTATTTTTATTATTATTTCAATATATTATATTATGTTATTCTTATTAGTATGTTATATCACATCATATTATTATTATTATTACTACTACTATTATTATTGCATTATATTATATTATTATTATTATTATATTTTATCACATTATATTATTATTATTATTGGTACTATTATTATTGTTATTGTTATTATTATTATTATTATTATTATTATTATTATTATTATTACTATTATTATTACTATTATTGTCATCGCTATTATCCTTATTATCGTTCTCATAATATTGCTATTACTATTATTATTATTATTATTATTGTTATTATTATTATTATTATTATTACTATGATTATGATTATGATTATTATTATTATTATTATTATTATTATTATTATTATTACTAACAGCAAGTACAGATAATTAAAAGGAGAAGTAAACCGGCAAATGAACCTTTTGTGGTTTTAAAAGTCCTTTTGCATGCATTAAATTAAATTTATTTTCAAAAAAGAAAATCCAAAAAATGATTTATTTAAAACTTCCTCGTCCCGATGTTCCTGCATCGGGAGGTGTATGTACACTGGAAGTGCCTAGACGCGAAAGGTCTCAGGCAAAGACACTCGAGATTTGCCCTAAACTCTAAACCCTAAACCCTAAACCCTAAACCCTAAACCCTTAACCCTAAACCCTAAACCTTTAATTCTCTAGGTATACATTTAGGTATAAACATGTGTGGATGGCTATAAGCGCTACAGGCTTTAGATTTCATAACCTAATGAAGTTCGTAAACCCTCAACGTAAACCCTAAACCCTAAACCCTAAACCCTCGCAAATACCATGAACTCTAAACCCCAGACCCTAAACCCTAGGTCATAAACTCTGGCGGTGAAAGAACTAATATATTCTGATTTTAAAAACCTTTTCATTCAAAAAGGGTTTTGGGAATTTCCAGAAAAGTGCAAAAAGATGAAAAGCATTTCTTGTGCTCGCGGTGGTCTGTGTTGTTGAGGTGTATGTACACCTCAGGCTTTGCATGCAACGACGAAAAGTTTTGAATTCTTTTGAAATATATTTTAATTTATTTTGAATTTAAAATGAAGAGGTAAAACTAGCAATTGAACTGCAGCAGCAGCAGCAAACACTGCTGCTGCTGCTGCTGCTGCTGCTGCTGCTGCTGTCGGTGGCGGTCTGCGGCTGCATGGGCGCAGGAGGGGTTGTGAGTTGCGGGAAGCCCTAAACCCTAAACCCTAAACCCTAAACCCTAAACCCTCTTACTTTAAAAAATAAAGGGAATTAAATGGTGTTTTTCCCGTTTTAAAAACCCCAAACCCTCGGGGTGTTCAGCAGCAGCAGCAGCAGCAGCAGCAGCCGGTCCGGTTCGGCGATGATGGAGTTTTTCTTCGTTTTTTTGCATTTTTGAAAAATAAATCAAAACTCAATTATGTTTTATCATTTTTAATTCAATTAATTCTTTTTTTCCTTCAAAATGGTCTCCAATTGCCCCAAAGAAACCCCCCTGGGGGCCCTCCCCCCGGACCAGCTCCTCAGAACCCTCAGGTCCCTGCACACAGCCAAACACGGTGAGGCCCCAAACCCCAAACCCTAAACCCTAAACCCTAAGCCCTGAGGGCTGGGCCTCAAAGCCAGCAGCAGCAGCAGCAGCAGCAGCAGCAGCAGCAGCAGCAACAGCAGCAGCAGATAGAAACGCCCTGCGCCGACTCCCGCAGCGGCTACAGGTTTTCCAGCTGCTGCTGCTTCCGCAGCAGCAGCAGCCGCTGCTGCTGCTTCAGCAGCAGCAGCAGCAGCAGCAGCCGCTGCTGCTGCCAGCAAGTGCAGCTATTTACGAGCTGGCCCTCAGTTTCGGTTTCTTCGCGCTGCTGCTGCACCTGTTGTTGCTGCTGCTGCTGCTGCATCTGTTGTTGTTGCTACTGCTGCTGCTGCTGCTGCTGCTGCTGCTGCTGCTGCTGTGCACACAGGACTGCTGCAGCTGCTAGTTGAAGTGACAGCCGAGAAGGAGACTCTGCTGCAGCAAAGGAGACAGCTGAGGGAGGAGGAGAAGCAGCTGCAGCAGCAGCTCGAGTGAGAAAGTCCACAATTAGGGTTTAGGGTTTAGGGTTTAGGGTTTAGGGTTTAGGGTTTAGGGTTTGAGTGGCGTGTTTCGCGGCGCTGTGTCTTTAGGGTTCAAGGAAGGGGACTCAGTCTTTTTCAAGCAGTTCTAATGGAGTGAGCATGCAAACCCTAAACCCTAAACCCTAAGCCCTAAACCCTAAACCCTAAACCCTAAACCCTAAAAAATGGGACAACGGCACGGCGAAGCTAGACGCGAAGGCTTTGCGCCTAAACCGTAAACCCTAAACCCTAACCCTAAACCCTAAGCCCTAATCCTAAACCCTAACCCTAAACCTTAAACCCTATCCCTAAACCCTAACCCTAAACCCTAAACCCTAAACCCTAAACCCTTTGTGGAGTGCATCTCAGCTTCGGGGTCTCCGGCCTGCAGGGCCTCTTGGGGCACCCAAAGGAGTCAAAAAGGAAATTAGAAAAAGAAGAAAAAGAAAATAAAAAAGAAATTAAAAAAGAAAATAAAAAAGAAATTAAAAATGAAATCAAAAATGAAATCAAAAATGAAATTAAAAAAGAAATCAAAAAAGACAAACCTCCTTCCGCCAAGTACCTTCTTCAAGCCCGCAGAGACCCAGTAAGTCAGTACCCTCATTGTCGCCTCAAGGGGCCCCCCGGGGGGCCCCGGGGGGGCCCCTGGGGGCCCTTAAGGGGGCCCCCTGGGGGCCCTTAAGGGGGCCCCTGGGGCCCCCTGGGGCCCCCTTGGGGGCCCCCCCGCGGGGCCCTTAAGGGGGCCCCAGGAGCGGCTTCTAAGGAGGCCTTTAGGGTACTAGGGCCCCCTGGGGGCCCCCTGGGGGCCCCCAAAGGGTTCAGGGGCCCCTGCTGAACCCTTCTGGGGGCCCCCTGGGGGCCCCCAAAGGGTTCAGCAGGGGCCCCTGAAGAGCGCCGAGGGGGCCCCCTGAGGCCCCTGTGTGGGGCCGGGGAGCAGCAGCAGCAAATTGGACTTTTATTTATTTATTTATTTATTTGTTTATTTGTTTTTGTTTAAATGTTTATTTTATTTTAAAAGTATTTTAAAGTCTTTTCTTTTTGCTGCTAACAGTTTTCCTTATTTTCTTTTTTCTCTTTTTCTCTTTGCTGCTGCCAGGGCCTCCAAAGAGACACGGGGGGCCCCCCTGTCCCTTTTGCTGCTGCTGCTGCTGCTGGGGCCCCTGTGGGGCTGGGGGCCCCCATAGGGGGGCCCCCCAGCAGCCCCTGCGACTTGGGGGGCCCCTGGGGGCCCCCAGACCTGCTGGGGGCCCCCAGGCCACTAGGGGCCCCCGGGGGGCCCCCAGGGGAACAGCCCCAGCTTGCTGCAGACAATAACGGAGACACAGGGGGCCCCCTGCCCCTGGGGGCCCCCCCGGGGGCCCCCCCGGGGGCCCCCCTGGGGGCCCCCCTGGGGGCACCCCTGGGGGCCCCCCTGGGTACCCTATCTCTAGGGGCCCCCTGGGGGCCCCTGCCGCTAGGGGCCCTCCAGGGGGCCCCCAATGCGGGGGCCCCCTCGGCATTTGCAGCTGAGAAAAAGGGTACAGGAAGTGTTGTAAAGGGAACAGAAGGAGATTGCTGCTCCAGTGGAGACTCTGCTGCTGCTGCTGCTGCAGGTGGGTGCAGCAGCAACGGGAGCAGCAGCAGCAGCAGCAGCAGCAGCAGCAGCAGCAGCAGCAGCGGCGGCGTCTCTGTGGGAGATGATAGGCCTGGAAATGAAAGCACAGGGGACTGCAGCAGTGGGAGCAGCAGCAGCACCTTCAGCAGCAGCAGCAGCACCTTCAGCAGCAGCAGCAGCACCTTCAGCAGCAGCAGCAGCACCTTCAGCAGCAGCAGCAGCACCAAACTCCTAGGTAGCAGCATAATAGAGAGGAGCAGCAGCAGCAGCAGCAGCAGCAGCAGCAGCAGCAAGCAGCAAGAGTGGCGCTGCAGAAGCCGGCTGCTGGCACTTCAAATCAGCGAAGCTCTTGGCCTTGAAGAGCCTTCGGGGGCTTTTGCTGCTGCTGCTGCCAGTGCTGCAGCAGCAGCAGCAGCAGCAGAAGAAGATTGCTGCGCTGCTGAAGCTGCAGCAGAAAGAGAGGCACAATCCACGCCGCCGACCGCTCTTTCTGCTGCTGCTGCTGCTGCTGCTGCTGCTGCTGCTGCTGCTGACCCTCCGGCTGCTGCACTGGAAGACACAGCGCCCAGCGCGGCTGGGAGTTCGTCTCCTGCTGCTGCTGCTGCTGCTGCTGCTGGCTCTGCAGCTGCTGCTTCGAAGCAGCCGCACTCCCTTCCCTTTTACCCGAGTGCTGCAGCAGCAGCAGCAGCAGCAGCAGCAGCAGCAGCAACAGCAGCAGGGGACCCTTTTGCTGCTGCAAGGACTGCAGATAGGGGGGCCCCTTCTCCGCCGCAGGAGCAGCAAAGCCTGCAGCAGCATCGGCTGCCCCCCGATGGAACCCAGAGCCCTACAGCAGCAGCAGCAGCAGCAGCAGCAGCAGCAGCAGCAGCAGCAGAAGCAGCAGCAGAAGCAGCCACAATCAAGTCTTGTTCAGAGGGGGGCCCCCAAGCAGCAGCTAAAGAGTCTCAGGGGCCCCTGGAGACCTCAGAAGTTGCTGCGCAAGTGTCTGCCAGAGGCAGAAGCAGCAGCAGCAGCAACAACAGCAACGGCAGCAGCAGCAGCAGCAGCAAAACCAGCAGCAACACCAGCAGCAATAGCAGCAGCGATTCCAATAGCAGCGACAGCAGCAGCAGCAGGCGCTTCGCTGCGACGGCAAACAGCAGCTGCACTCACGACAGCAGCAGCAATGGGACCCGCAGCAGCAGCAGCAGCAGCAACAGCAGCAGTAGCAGCAGCAGCAGCAGCAGCAGCAGTAACAGTAGCAGCAGCAGTAGCAGCAGCAGTAGGCGTCGAGCTGCAGCAGAGCCGCTGACCCTTGCGGAGGCGTTCAGCAGCAGCAGGATCAGCAGCAGCAGCAAAAGCAACAGCAGCAGAAGCAGCAGCAACAGCAGAAGCAGCAGCAGCAAAAGAGCAGACACTGCAGACCTGTTGCTGCAGAAGCGGCCCTCTCCCGGAGGCAGTCGGGCTTCAGGTGCTGCAGCAGATTCAGCAGCAGCAGCTGCTGCTGCAGCAGCAGCAGCTGCTGCAGCTGCTGCAGCAGCAGGTTCTGCTGCTGCTGCTGCAGCAACGAAAAAGCCACAGGGGCCCCCGGAGGGTCCTGTACCCTCTCTGCGGCTAGCCAGGGGGCCCCCAGAAGTGGGGGGCCCCCCTGGACTATTTGCTGCTGAAAGGGCCCCCCTGAAGACCCTTTGGGGTGTGCGGCCGCCTCAGCAGCAGCAGCAGCAGCAGCAGCAGCAGGGAAACAGGAGCCTCACTGCAGCAGCAGCAGCAGCAGCAGCAGCGGTGCAGCCTGCTGCTGCAGGCAGCCAGCAGCAAATAAGGGAAGGAGGGGGGCCCCTCCTTGAAGTAGAAGTGAACCCAAAAAGGGGGGGGGGCCTCCTGGTATCTTGGGAGGTGAAGGGGGCCCCCTCGAGGCCCTTGCTGCTGCAGGCTTGTGTCCTTCAGTGCAGCAGCAGCAGCAGCAAAAGCAGCAGCAGCAGCAGCAGCAGCAGCAGCGCTGGCGGGGAAAGTAGGCAGCAGCAGCTGCTGCTGCACTCCGATTGCAGCCCTCTCTCAATCCCCCCTTTAAGCAGCAGCGGCGAGTACCACATTACTCTCTTAGTGAAACAGCAGCAGCAGCAGCAGCAGCAGCAGCAGCAGCAGCAGCAGCAGCAGCAGCAGCAGCAGCAGCGGCCAGTGTGTGGGGTTTCTGTACAACTTGCTCTCGAAAACAACAATATAATTAATCAAAGAATAAGACCTTTGCCAGTCCACAGACTTTCCATTAGGGGCCCCCCAACCCCCAGGGGGGCCCCCACCCCCGGGGGCCCCCTGACCCCCCAGGGGGGCCCCCCACAGGGGGGCCCCCCAGCCCCCCTGGGGGCCCCCGCACAGGGGGGCCCCCTAGACCCTATGGGGCCCCCGGCCCCAGGGGGCCCCCCAACCCCCAAGGGGGCCCCCACCTCACAGGGGCCCCCAACCCCCAGGGGGGCCCCCATCCCAGGGGGGCCCCCCAGTGAGTTTGCTGGGGGCCCCCAGACCTCCCCAGGGGCCTCTCCAGAGGGGCAAGCCACTGGGGGGGCCCCTGAAGGGGGCCCCCAAAGCTTCCCAAGCATGCGGGGGGCCCCCCCGCAATTGCTGCTGACAGAACAAGAACAACAACCCCACCAAGGGGGGCCCCCCAGCAGCAACTTAACCCAGGGGGTCCCCCGGGGGCCCCCTGAGGCCCCTGGGGGCCCCTGGGGGGACTTCAGCAGCAAGGGCACACAGCGCAGTGTACGTACACCGGCGACTGCAGCAGC